CACACACACACACACACACACACACACACACACACACACACACACACGAGGGGGGAGGAAAATATGAAAAGCCATTTAAAGAAGGAAGATGTAAAAACTCTAATCTTTCCTGTTTCCTTTGTCACTATCACCCCCCTTTCCCAGAATTTGAAAACATATTTAGATACCAGTTTTTGCAGGCAGGAATCAGACAAGAGGTGGCCCTCTCCCCAAAAGGAAAAGACAGGTTTTTTTGTTTTGTTTTGTTTTTGCTCCTAGAATCTGGCACTGAATTATGAAAACAGAAGTTTGAGTTCTGTATTTGTGATTTCAGGTTCAGGGATGGCTCCTCTGGGAAGTGTTACAGCACTTTATTTTAGAGTAAAATAATTCCTTAGCTCACCTCACAAAGCTGTTCTAAAGTGCTCGGGAACTCTATAAACAGAACAAGCAACAAATGTTATTAATTTAAAAACAACTGTTTGTCTTTGACTTTATAAGACTCTGATTATCTTATGAACCCAAACCACTTGAGAGACTTGTGCTGGGAATCCAAAACATCTGGAGAGCTCTCTGGCAGCATCCCCAGTACACAGGAGCCATCCTGAGGGATAGTATTCTTGACTCTACATCTCCTGAATTTGGGTCCTGTAAAATTTTCATCAAAGTTGTCTTTCTCCAAGGTGCTGAAGCCACAGAATGTGGTATCTCTGAAGCTATTCCCTTCTCATTAGCATTGGGGATAGTAGGTTCCTCTTCTTAAAGAGAACAACAACACGAAGATATTCACATCAGACATCGCATGTCTTGTAGTCATGTGTTTAACCAGCAGGCAAACCCAAATTGAAACCCTGTTTCCTAACTAAAACACAAAGCCAGTTACACAGATTGCAGATTATCTGTAGATCAGTTCCTCCTGGCTGAACATTTCACTGTGCTCCACAGGCTGGCATCCACTCCACTCATTAACATGCCTTCCACACAAAGAGTCCAGGAATCCACACATTTACGGGGGATTCCAAAAGGCATCCTTCCTGTTTTCCAACTACTGCTTTAGGGTTTGGCGTTTCAGGATGCTCTCTGCTGGCAGGGGAAAAAAAATGTCTTTGGAATGCTAAACCAAAGGCCAGGGCTACCTTGGGGTGTTTGCAAAGGCAGACATGAGTACATTTCTAATGTTCCTAACCCCAGGGCAGACAATGAACCTTGAACCATGCCCAACACATGCAAGCAGGGTAGAACTGACCATAGGTTCCATGCAAACCTAAGATTCCAATAGGAACTGATCATAGTTCAAATGGAATGTAAGAGTGAAAGCATAAACTATAGAGTAGTATTTCTCAGCTTGGCCCAATCTGCTCTGTTAGCTGCCCTGCTTTTAAAACATTACTTAAATATTTTCTGCTCAGTTTCTTCTTTATAAAATGGAGATAAATAATCTACCTCCTAGACTGATGTATAACCACACTAAATCACTCCATGTGAGAAACTTAGCCTGGAATCCAATACAGAAGATCAAGAGAAATAAATTGCATTGTATTCCTCTAAGATTAAAACACTTTTAACCACAAACTGGGTTTCTCGATATTGCTTTCCACCATGTTTTGACAATTAGTAGGCAAAAATATTTTCTTTTGATACTTAGAACAGTTATTTGTTAGTCAGAACTCCAGATTTGGGGGAATGGCTTATGCATATGAATGGTCTTCCTTAATTAGCCATTAACTAAAGACTATGTCCCAAATGGCAGGTAATTTACACCGTGTTTGAAAACAGGTTGAGCACTTCACTTCTAAATTAGGAGCCATGAATTCCTGTTGAAAATGTAGCCAATAACCCGCAGCTGTTCCTTTAGTGTCAAGGCTTCAGTCCAAAGAAAATTTTTTACAGCAAATACCTGATGAATCAATACAGACTGCCCACACAGGTCTATCTAACAAGGACTACCCCAGCACTGAAGAGAGGGCGTGTTAAATGGGTACCCAAACTTCCCTCCACCTTAGAGAACCAGGGAGAGCCTTCTCTTCAAAGAGAGAGGGCATGGGGGGATGTCACAGAACCAAAGCCATTCTGCCCCTTCCAAGAAGGTGCCACGTCGCCAGCAGGCGCTTGCCTCTTACCACGAACTCCTCCAAAGTCTGATAGGTCTTGCCCCGGAACTCGCAGTAGTTCTTCCTCTCCTTGCACTGCGGACAGCACTGGCTGGTGTCGACGTGGATGCAGCGCGGGTGAAGCCGGGGGCACTCTGGCTGTGCGCAAAGGGGCCCCTCCTCCGTACACAGACATGGACAGGCTGAGGGACCTGGGGCGAACTTCTCCCCGATCGCATACACGAAGCCACTCTCGTCCACGCAACCCTTCCCGCGGTAGTCGGGGTAGGCGTATTCCTCAGGCAGCTCCGGTGTGGGCACGAGTTCCAGGCTGATCGCTTCCTGGGCGGCGGCCGGGGGCTCCCCCTGAGGGGTATCCCCGCGAGGCCGGACCTGCCAGTCCGCGGCCTTGGCGCTCCCGCCCTGGGCAGCCCAGGCCTGCTTCTGCTTGCTCCACGCCTCCCGGCCCGAGAGCGTGCGGCTGCCCTTGCTTTTCCAGTCCCGAGCACTGCTGCCCTCGTCCCTCGAGGCGCGCCCGAGCTCGCTCACCCTCCCAGGGCTGTCCCGAGACGCGTGCTCGCGCTTCTCCTGGCCGGGTTGTTCAGGAGCTTGGGCCAGCTTCTCCAACGGGATGCTCGGACTGCACAGAGCCACCATCAGGCAGCAGGTGACCAAGAGGGAACTGGAGAGCGCGCCAACTGCCATCGCAGAGGAGCTAGGCATCCCCTACCACGTCCCGGCGGGCGGGCGGGCGGGGAGCGCGGACGATGAGCGAGTCGCATTCACAGCCCGGGGGCGCGCCGCTGCCAGCCGGGAGTCGCCGTCCCTGCGGAGAGAACAGCAGTACAACTGAGCTCCGTGGCCCGAGCGCACCTCGGCCCCGCCGTGGCCCCCTCCCGGCCCGGCGCCGCCCGGGCTCCACCATCCCTTTAGATTAACAAGCTGGACGCTGGGGGCGGGGGCAACTTGCCCAGTGTCTGGTATACAACGGGGTTCTCAGACATCACACATGTGCAGGAATAGACAGCAAGCCAAGTCGGAGGAAAACACCGGCCGCGAGGGTCTCCTGCGGTGGAGATTAGTGTTGGAGATGGACACCAGCAGGATGCGGAGCCCAGAAAATGCAGCAAGTCGGGCGGGTGCGGGCTGCAAGGCTTGCACTCAGAGCTCAAATCCTGGCACCTGGGCTGGCCCTCCCTAAGTCTTGGCCGCATTTCCCGCAGGTTTCTAAACAGAGAATTCCGCAGTGGAGTTGGAGACCGACAAACCAGCGCGCAGGTTAAAGAGAAACCCTTCCTTTCCTGCCCAAGGGGTTTGTGCATGGAAAGGAAGCTGGGGAAGAAGTGAGAGAAAAGACCCCCCCCAACAAAACCACAAACCTCACTGTTACTCCGAAGACCCCCCACGACTCATTTGTAACTTCTTAGATTCCTGCTGTCTAGGGAGTACATGTCCCTCTGTTCTCTAACCTAGGCACTATCTGGCCTCTGTCTGGTCGGCCAGGTCCAGGATTCCTGAGGCTTTACTCCTTAGCAGCTACCCCACTTCCAGTACTGGCTCTTCACTAGGAGTGGTGGAGGGTGATGTGAGCACCGGTAGGCTAGAGCGCTATTTTGGAATAGCTTATAACTCAGAGGGGTCTTGGTGATGGATAAGTGATGCTCGCCCCAAGGAATACTGAGAAGGAAGGTGGAAGTGCAAGAACATAGGACTAGGGCCAAGACTATCTTAACTGAAGGGCGTCTTCCAGCCTTTTGTGGATCTCAAAGTTTCTGCCACTCAAAGGAGTCTAGAGTTCCCAACATAGCTGGGTACAGACATGCCAGTCTCTATTTGCCTCTGCCAAACACCCACCCTCTCCGTGCGCACCAATGCCTCTGTCCCCCTCTATTTCATCCAGCCTTCTCTATTAGGACTCCAATTAAGCTGCCCTCTGACTCATCGCCAACACCAGTGGACCTCAGCCCAGGGCAAATCGCCCATATTTAAAACTTGGCAGGCAGGAAGGGGTCTTCTCCAGAAGATGGGCCATATAGAGTAGTTTACGAAGGCGTCCCCGTGCCCGTGGCGTGAACCTCCAACATGCACCCTCACCCCGGCGGAGTGGCACCTACATACATGAGCTCAGGACGCAGGAGGGACGCCGGGCTCTAGCGGGCGCGGCCCTGGGGCTCCAGTGTCCATCCTGGTACCGGTCGGGCACCAGCGCAGGGCGGACAGCGGAGAACACAGTCCGACCTGCGCGCTCCGCCTGGCGCATGCACCCGGCTAGAGCATTTGACCCAGCCTGCTCATCAGGCTGCTAGTGGCTGGTAGCCTTCTCCGAGTCCTGTCAATGCCAGCGCTGCCTTCCGCCTCTTATTCCTGGGTTTCGTCCCTGAGTCTCCACCACGAAGCGTGCCCAGGGAGCTGCCGGAGCCCAGTCTCGCTCTCCTTGCCAGCCAGGCAAAGAATTTTTCCAAAGCGAGCAGCAGGGACCAGTGGGCAGCCGCTGCGCCCTGGAGGAGAGGAGCAGCTCGGAGCGCGTCCTGAGGGCCAATGGGATTCAGGCTGGCTGAGAGCCGCGCGCCTGCAGCCTGCCTCCTGTCGCAGCTGCCTGGCGTAGGGCTCGCACTCCGCTCCCTCCTCCGCTGCCCACGCTCACGAGGCGTCGCCACCGGGGCTCGCGTTGCCGTGCCCTGGGTGGGTAGGAGACCTGAGCAGCAAGCGCTGCCCTGGCAGCTGCAGCTCAGCCCACCTGTCAGGCGCACTCAGGCTTCCTTCTCAGACTTGTCACTCACTCTCCTCTGAATCTTTCATCTTGGCTTTTCTTCTTTCTGTTTATTCTTTTCTTTAATGTCCTCTCCCCTAATTGGCCCCCTCTGGCTTTGCTCTCGGTGGACAGATTGCTTTTGCTGCTGTAAACCAATGTAAACCAAACTGTTGAGTTTGGAATCCCGAGGATGTGTTAGCGGAGACTGTAGGGAGGTTTATTCCACCTTTACATCCAAAAACCCAGAGGAACAGACTAGGAAGAATAAGAAACGTGGAGGATCTCAAACAGCATACACTCTAGTTCTCCTCTACCACAGAGGCTGCTGAGGGTACTGCTGTTAACTTGTTCAAATCAAATGCTGATGTCGGTTTGCTCCTCTTCGATCTTGAAGGCTGAATCTGCTTCTTTTCTTAGATAAAGAACTAAAGTCATATGCTCAAATTAATCTCCAAAATGGGATGTTTAAAGAAACATATATTTCCTGGACAGTGGTTACTCTCGATGCCAACGATGTTCAGATAGTGACACACAACTTTACAGGGTCAGGCCCCTTGGGAGGAAGGAACTGTTTTCTCCACCTCTATGTAGATGATGAACCAAGGTTTAAATGGAGACTTGAAAGACTAGAACCTGGAAATTCCTTGGGAGACTGCTTTTCCTTACATACAGACACATGCACACTGACAAAAATTTAGGGCATCTCCATGCCCAAGATAATCCATGCTCCCTGCATTTGCTGCAAACACCACTATTGTTGCCTGCAGAGAAAAGATCTATCTTTGCCAGTGGGTTGCTGCATCACTTACAGAGATCCCTTGCTCCTTCTCGGGTGCTCATCAATCCTAACTTCCGGGGCTGTATGATACCACTAATGCAAATACCTCCACAGACCACCATAAAAATAGCATTGTAGGTGTGATCATTTCTACTGTGAGAAATGAGCCCTCCACAGAGTACTTAGAGACACACACCATCAAATGCTTTCTTGAATCAAGGCTGTTATTGCTAGCTGCTCCAGTCATATAGCCCAGGTGCTTTGTTTTACCACCTGTTCCCTGCCTCATTTGGTTACAGGAGGGAACTTCACATGTGTACACTTTCTAGGATTATGTAATAATACATGTGAACAAGCACAACTGAAAAATCAGGTGTCCAGTCAAAGGGACGGAGATGTTTTATTTACCTCATCTTGGTCTTAATAAAGAGGTTTTATTTGTCTCACTATGATCCCAAGTCACTTTGAACCTGGAGGGACTTGTGCTTTTTCCCAACCTCATGGTCATAATGTAAAGATATTAATATGGGTCTTCAAGCTTGCAAAAATAGGCTTGGCTGGCCAAAGAAACACTTGTTATTCCACCATGTGTCTGAACTGGGTTTTCTCATCAGATCTTCTGAATTAGTGATAGGGAAGATTAGGTGAAGGGAGAATGCAATTTCAGAGGAACCCCTTTCCTTGGTTATCCCTCCAAGCAGCTTTAATGTCTTAGTTAGGGTTTCTACTGCTGTGGTGAAGCACTGTGATCAAAAGCAGCCAAAAAGGAGGAAACGGCTTATTTCACTCATGTTTCCACATAACAGTTTATTATTGAAGGGAGTTTGAACAGAAACTCAAACAGGGAGGGAACATGGAGGGGGGAGCTAGTGCAGAAGCCATGGAAGAATGCTGCCTGATGGCTTGCTCCTCAAGAATTCTTTAGCCTGCTTTCTCAGATTGACAGCCCAGGGATGGCACCATCTACAATGGACTGCTGCCTCACACTAATGTCTAATTAATACAATGTTCTACAGGCTTTTCTGATCTTATGGAGAGATTTTCTCAGTGTGAGTTGCATCCTTGAAAATGACTCCAGCTTGTCTAAAGTTGAAATAAAAACCAATCAGGACAATTGACCCCTTGTCAAGTTGACATACAGACTGTCACTTTGCAACTAGAACCTTTCCTTTCTCATTTGTCCCCAAGATGGGATGTTAATATTAGTATTGTGCCAGATGATGGAGGTTTACACCTTTAATCCCAGCACTTTAATCTCAGAGAGGCAGGCGAATCTCTGAATTAGAGGTCAGTTTGGTCTACAGAGCAAGAGAGCGAGTTCAGGATGGCCAGAGCTACACAGAAAAACCAAGTGTCTGTAAACTAAAGAAAATTAACACTGCAATATAGACCATACATAACTGAAAGTTCTGTAGTCTTTACAAATTCAAACACCTTTTATAAAGTCAGTCTCTTTAAAATAACTGGTTTCTTTTAGAATTCAAAGTCTCTCCAGCAATCCCGGATCTATAAAACTCCAAAGTCTCTTTAAAAGGTCAAGTCTCTCAACTGTGAGCGCCTATGAAATCAAATAAGTTGAATACGTTCTTATTCCACGATGGAAGAACCAGGGCACAATCACAATCCGAACAAGGCAAAACTAAAGTCCAACATTGTAGAGCTCAGTGTCAGATATGTGGAGATTCATTCACAATCTTAATGGTTCCTTTAGGGGGTGTAGGCAGTCATTCATAGCACACAAAACTTATCTCCTATGCTCATGCTGACTCTATTCTAAGTCTGCCGCTGCCATTGGGGGCTGTCCCATGGTATTGGTATCTCTAAAATGTCTAAGTCTCCACTACCACTGGGCAGTACCTTCACTAACAGCTTTCCCTGGGCTTTCTTTGGGGACTCTGACCATGCTATTTAGTACCAAGCTTTAACTTCCCTTCGTAACACATTCAATTCTGTGGCTTTGATTGGAACTGAGGCTGCATCGTCACTGATGGTAACCCTTTATACCATCAAAATCAGCACCACTTGGATGACTCTGACACTATCAAGTTCAAGTGCTGGAATGAGAAACAGCCTTGGTTGCCTCTGGACCACAACTTTTCTGTGCTGACTCCAAAGAAAGACTTCTCAGAAGATTTTTGTCTTGTTGTTGCTGACCTCTTCTTAAACAAGGCTTATATCTCTTAGCTCCAGCTCATCAGCACCAATTGTTCCAGCAAAGCAAAGGTTTTTGTGTCAGTGGTGCTGGTCTGTTGTTAACCATGCCTGTTTCTTCAGCTCCAGCTGACTAGAGACACAAATTCCTAATCCAAAGAAGTGCACGATCTGAGTAGAATCTTTAACCTTCCCTTTAAAACTCCACAAGCCAGGAGAGATTTCAGCATCTGCATTTCTCTCAGAATTCTTAGCTTCCAAGCTTCCTAGGAACAGCCCACTGTTCTATGAGTACTCAATGGCTTTTCCAGCCCCAAGTCCCAAAGACCTTCTACAACCCTCTCCAAAACACTATGATCAGGACTGTCACAGCAATACTCCCTTCTTTATAACAATACCACAACTTCCATACCCAGCAACTAAATAAAGGGGGCTTTGCCCTACAACAGGAATTTGTCCTTCATCTAATGCCAGTGCAGTAACTTCCTGAGGTCTATTTTCCTCCGTTTCTCATGTTCTTTATTCTTTTTCATGTTCCTTCCTCTTCTCTCTCTCTGTCTTCCCTATCTGGTCTTTTAGGTTAGGGAATAACAGCAGCAGAAAGGCTTTTGTCAGGGAGGAAGGTGACATGTGTCTTATCCAACTCCATCAAGCCCAGCTTTAAAACATGGGCAATTACTCAGCGTGTCAGGGTTTCTAACGTCCTTAAAAGGAATCTACAAATGTTTAGGAACCTCTCCATTTGAGTGAACAGAGAGCTACATTGCTGTTTCTGTGCTGAATTTTAACCCAGTTTATTCCTTCCCCTTTTCTTTCTCTATTCAGGAGGTAAATCGGTCTGATGCAGTACAGTTATATTTAGTGGCCAGGCTGAGCATGTGTGACCAGCTTCGGGGTAGCCCTGAGCAATAGCAATGCGTGTGAGTTCTAAGCAGGGTTCAGTCTTGCCTTGAAAGGTGGGTCACCTTTCCTGTCCCCTTAGGCAAAATTAATCTTGCCTTCTGCTTCTCGGTCTAGGTTTATGTCTCTATTACCGTCTTATAACATTCAACGATTTCATAGCTCCAGGGTGTTAATACTCACCTAGAAAATAACGTCTAACTAAATGGCTGAGCTGTGTTTCATTCATCTTTCCATCTTTACTGTGGAGGTCCTAACAAGACCCTTTGGGGACAAAGGAAAGCAAGTAGGGAAGTAAGAAAGAAAGGAATAGGAGGTGAGCCGAGCTTCACTTCATCCCAGTTGTCATCGGGAGATGGCTGGTCATTCCAGAAGCATCTCATGGAAATTCAATTAGCTAGCACTACAAAGCGTCACCACCCAGACCACACACCCATAAAGGAAGAGGTGCAGTGGTGACATAAGAAACCAGAACAAATTGTGTATCCTTCCAGTTCAGTTCCCGAGACTTCATCTGCTTAGCACTTGTATGTCCACTAGTAACCAGTTATAACTGGGTTCCATGCCTGTTTGCCAGTTCATGGGAAATTAAACCAATAGAGATATGGCTGAGGGAGAATATCTCAATGGGAAACAAGATCCAGAAGTCATGGATCTTGAAAACAAGGAGTTAGAACTTCTTGGCAGGAAAAGCAAGGTAAGGTGAGTGGTAGGGTTGGGGTAGACAGCACCAACTCATTTCCAAGCAAAGAGAAGTGACAAGGCAGAGAAGAACACAATGCAAGAACATCATCTGCTGGTATTGAAGGTGGATTGAGGGTAAAAATCAGGTGGCATAAAATGAAATACAGAATGAAGTTAGGGTGATTGAAAATGGCCAAAGAATAGAAATGTTCTTATGTGGTCTGGCCAGCATCTACACGGAATGAACACACACCTTATTAATTTTTCTGGTAAGGAAGAAGCTGGGAGGTAGCTCAGAAGTAGCAGAGGAGAAACATGACTGACTGCTAACATGCTTGTCCTTGTGGCTGGCAAAGTACAATAAAGTTTCTAAGGAGAAAGAAAGCCTCTATGAATTCATGTTCTTTGCACATGGAGTAGACCAAGGAAAGCAGGGAATGTGGAGAGCTCTGCCATGTGTCTTGCTCATTGCCTAAGACCTAGGCCTAGATAAAGAAGAACTGTCTTCAATGAGTCCACACTGTAAACAAAGACTCATTTAACTTGAACCCTGGACTTGAGCCAGAGAAGGAAGTGATGCCAAATGTTTCTCTTCCAAAAGCCAGAAGGGAACAAAAGTCACTTTCACCTGAAGTTATAGTAAACAGAATTTTTTGTGGTTCAGGATGAAAGTTGACCATTAACTAAAGCTAATGAGTGAGAGAAGCCACAGTCATGTTCAGATGGCCTTTTATGGATGTTCACAGAGCAGGCTGGGCTGTTAAGGGAGCCACTAATTAAAGTTCTGCCATGGATCAGGCTACCAGTCGACAGAGCAACAGCTCTGTTACTGCTTACCCTTTTGATACATGCCTGAGGTTGAGAGTTACTGTTCTCTGAGCTGACCTGCCGCACAGGCTGCCTGATTACAACACACCTCAGGGACTCATCCCTTCTGCTATGATGCCAAAAGTCAGCAGCATCTATTCAGATAATCGAATGGATGACTCAGGTTTTTGCAAAAATCAGTTGAAAAAGCTTCCTGGGTTTCCAGGGATTCATTTTCATATATTGTAAATTAAACCAATGTGTGAGAAGCATCGCAGGTATCGATATTTATGGGTAGACATGGTCTTGAAAATAATTATTATGAAAGATAATAATTGGTCAGAGTTTATTGGTCTGGAAGTGATGTTAGCAGGTTGTTCTGAATTCTTGGGACTGCCCTGAGAGGCATGGTACTCTCATCAAAATGGGCCTATGTGTATTAAGTAAAGGCAAAAGCCTTCAGGTGCTTCAAGGGTTTTTAGGCACAAGTTTTATGTTCTGGAGGCTTCTTGGCCGATGATCTTCCAGAGAGCAAGTTATCAGCCCTGACTGACACACAGAAGATGCAATGTTGTTCATGTGCTGTCTGTAAATCCCCAAAATGGGCAGAGATTTTGTTGAACAAGGTAGAAATGGAAGGTGTTTCCAGATGTACTGATGTGGAATCAGTGGAATGCAGGGTAGAATCAGGCACCTGTCTCCCTGGTATGACTTGCCCCTTTGACCCTGAGCTGATTGGCTTCCAAAACAATCCACAGTAAGGCTAGGAACTTTAAAACCTTTTGTGGCATTCCCACACTTTCTGGATATCATAAGCTCCTTGAGCAAGGATAGAATATGAGTGAAGATGGTACTCCATTTGTAAGTGACAACTCACATGCCTACTGCCCAGATCCTTCTTGATACTCAGATACCAGGCTGCAGATGTGGCCTAGGACAGTGGACTTGCTGCCTGGGCCTCAAATGGTATACAGAGTTGGGTCTTCCCTCCAAACCTCCTCAATATGGAATCCACATAGTAGAAACATGAAGTATCTGGGGTATAAGGAACAATGACAGCAACAAAGTCATAAATATGAGGTAAAAGCAGGTGCAAGCTCTGCAGAAAACCATCAGTAGTAAGTGCTTAGAGCTGGGGCTCTAAAAAAAGAGAAGGAGAAATAGCCAGTTAGACCATAGAGTTTTGATGAGACTGCTCAAAGACTCCTTCTGCTCACAGTGACTTCCATGGTACAACTGATCCTTTACAGTTGGTACTGATTTGAGTTAGCCAAGCTAAAGATGGATCCCATTAAATTCTCTGTAGAGAGCTTTATTTTCTAATAGAAACTCCTGAACATTTGGAATATATTACATATTTAGATGACCTTCAGTATCCATAGATTGGTTTCAAGGCTCTACTCTACTGCAACACTAAAATCTTATGCTTGTAATTCTTCACAAAAAAGGTGTATTATTTGCTTAGAACCCAACCACTTCCTCCAACGCATTTCAAATCATCTATTGATCACTTATAACACCTAGAACAATGCAAATATTGTGCAAATAGTTGATTAATTGTTTAGGGAATAATAAAAAAATGTTCAGGTTAGTGAAGATGCAATTTCTCTGAATATTGTAATTTATTTTCACTTATTACCTGCATGTGTGGATATGTGCAAGTGAGTGCAGGTTCTAGGGGAGGCCAGAAGAGGGCATCTGAGCTAGAGTTACAGGCAGTTGTGAACTACCCAATATGTATGTTTAGAAGTGAATTCCAGTTCTCTGCAAGAGCAGCAACTGATCTTTATTTCTGAGCCATCTTTTCAGCTCTTTTCAGAAAATATCTGATAGATGATTGGTTGAACCTGTGGATGTGAGGGGAAGGTAGGTTTCTCTGCATCTCTCTTTGTTTCACCTCCAGTCTCAACCATACGGAACAGCCTAGTAAAGACTCTCAACCATACAGAACAGCCTAGTAAAGACACCGGGCTCTCACATATTAACAGTGCATAGAAGCGTTCCTGTTTTCTCCCTTGTTTTCTGAACACCCCCAAGCTTTTAATATATGGTTTCCTATGAAAGAATCTTCTAGGTAAGCATTAGTTCCTGTTATTGGAAAGAAATGCCTTCTTTTTAGGTCTAAGCATAGAATCTGTCTGTGCTTTCTGACCCCACATTTCTGTTCTATTGTTCTGTTGATAACATTATCTTCTACTTCCTTGTTATGTTCAACCCCCCCACCCCCATTTTGTGGGGATTTTCAGGTGTTCAGCACCTAGTCCCACCATACACAGAGGATACACAGAGTTTACCGGCATTTGAGAACAGATAAGCCTTCTCTGCTTACAATTGCATGTGCTGAGCTGTGAGCTGATTGGGAGTCTTTCATCTTAGCTTTTACATCAGTTTACTAGGTTTGGTTTGTTATTCTAGCCATTGTCATTCCACTTTAGCAGAAGTTAAGTAACTGGTCCCTTGCTTCATCAGATACTTGGTTTATTATTGATCAAATGAGCTCCTATCACGCAAGTGCTGGCTTGCATTTAGACTAAAGCAGTTCACTGGTTCAGTAGTATGCAAGTAGAACACTGAAGAAACTATGAAATATGGTTTTTTCACTTATTTGGTGATTTTGTAAGTGACATCTACTGGCAACAAATTCTTTCAACTTCTATTTGCCTTGGAAAGTCTTTATTTGTTCTTCATGTTTTTAAAAAAAATTTTTTAAACATATCTTTAGACAAATGCCCAGGCTTAGGACACCAGTGTTTACTACTATGGACTGGGTAAGTATTGTACACTTCAGCTCTACTAAATTTATATATTTGTATATCTTCAATCACAATTAACCTCAAGTTACTTGAGCTTTTGATGGCGGCAAGAGAATTGAGAGCTGGAGGTCACTCTATGTAGCATTGGCCTCTGCTATGGCAAGCTTTTGATCAAAGCCTGCAAAGGCTTCTGGTTTATCTATCCTGCACAGTGAGCTGTCCGGGGGAGTTCTTTTCTTCTTCTCTTCTGGTTTCTTTTCATTTGACTCTTGGCCAGCTGAATGTTTACTGGACAATTACTGTTGGATTATTTCAGCTCCATTTTCTTGAACAGTAGAGTTTCTTTTTCTTCTGTTTTGTTTGTTTGTTTGTTTTTGGTTTGCTTTTGTTGTTGTTCCTGCAGCCGCTGCTACAGGAAGTTCTATCCAGACATCTTCAAACTTGTACTGTTCTCTTGTGCCCACTAATCAAAGGTATTCTTCATCATTTCTGTTAGTAGTTTTTGATCTTTAGTATTTCTTTTTTAGCTCCTCTTGGGAATTTCCACCTCTTTGCTTATATAGCCCGTGTACTATTATTTTCTTTACCCAATGTTATCCTTTCGATGTGAACCACAATTGCTTAAAATCCTGAAAAGGCAGCATCTTTTCTTGTTTGGCTCTGATGCTTGTTCTGTCTTCAGATTGTGAGGGTGAATCTGAGGGTTTGTTTGTTTTGTGTTGTGCTATTTTGTTTTGTTTTTTTTTTTTAACCACAAGACATTTATTTCTGAGAAAACTCTAGAAGGCTAAGCTCCTGTTAAATAGTCTCTTAAGGGCAGACCTCGATAAGAAGAAAAAAGTAGGAATGTTCTGGTATATTTCTGAATATCTTCTTTTTCTTTTCCTTTGCTAGGAGAAGAAACTGAGCAGAACTTCAGAAGGTGAAAATCTTAGAAGATGGGATAAGCCCATGTGACAGGAGTCTCTGACGCCTGACTTGCCCACACACCCTCAGCAATGATGTTTACAGTTCAGGTTTTATTACTCAGACTCAGTTCCCATGGAAGTAGAAGGCAGATTTACGCTCTAATAAATTCTAATTCTGAATATTCACATATCCATCTATTTTATTTGGAGAGCCTGCTCTGTGAACTTACTTCCCTGAAAAAAGAAAGAAAAAAAAACTAAATAGTGTTTGTTTTAGCTGCCTGAGCTTTTCACTTTAAGAGAGAAGACTTCTGAGCACTTACATGCTGGTCTAGAAACAAGACTCTCTAGTAGCCTTTTGAGAAATATTTTTCAAGTATTTCTATAGCAATATATATATATATATATATATATATATATATATATGCTCATATGATGACATTCAACTATTTCTTTCTTGCCTCTCAAAGTCAGTGTTACAGCTTGTATATTAGAAGCCTATTTATGCTCCTACTGGCTTTGTTAGAGGTTGTGTGAAGAGACAGATGCTGATGGCTATATGGTGATGTAAAAGGATATATAAATGTTTGCCACTACATGTCCGTCTCTTTCTAATAACAAACCACCCAGTTTTCTGCTAGAGAATGGAAGTTTACTTAATTTCAACCTATCAGTTTTTCAAGCAGAGCCATTGCCTAGAATAAGAAACCAGATCTGGCCAGCATCTTCATTCATCGGCCACAGTGGGTGGTGCATCATGGAGACAAGGAAAACCAGGCTTAGGACTTCTTTGAACTATCTAAAGATGTATTGTTTTTTCCTCTTCCTCCTACTATGGAACTTGTAAAATTTAAGGATATGTTTGCTAGAGACACCATATGTTGTATGTTCTACATGAAATTGAGACAGTCCAGAAGAAAATTCAAACAAGAAGACAAATCAACTCCTGATAATGTTGTGTGGAGGCTTCCAGATTCATAGAATTTGGAATTTATCTCTTTAGCTGCTGGGTCATCTGCACTCAGTCTTTTCCCTCATTCTCTTCCCTTGCCTTTCTTCTTTTCCTCCTACCCCTCCATCTCTTCTTTTTCTCTTCTTTCTTTTCTTTTCCTTTATTCTTTTGCCTTTCCCCTTCTCCTCTTCTTTCTCTTCTACCTCTTCCTTCCTCTCCCAAACAGATTTGGATTTGTTTTTTTTTTTTTTCTTGCAAACGTGCATTCCCAGCTCTGGTAAATCAAATGCTTCGTTAAGTTCACTAATTGAATTCAGCTCTGTCACAGTTCACACTGTGGCTCCTGAGCATATCTGCAAACGTCAAAATCCCACCATAGTGATCAGACTGTAAGTGGATTTGGGGCCTATCTTCAGAGTTCTCAAAAGTGGCCTCTCACTCAGAAATTAAGCCACTGCCTTTTCTGCACAAAAATTTCTTTCATACCACCCCAGCAACTCTGCCTGTGTGCTTTCAGAGGCAGAACTGGCCTGAATTGTGCACAGAGTCCCCATTGCCAGCTCTGTTACATTTTTTTTTTTCTTCCTGGCAGCCACAACTTCCAGTCAAGATTTCTGGACACTTTCCAATTACAACACCATTTAGAAACACTCAGCATATTCCAGTCTTGAGTAATGTATTGATCTATTTTAAAAAAGAAACTGCCTACATGGTCCCTTGTAAAATTCTTTTTTATTATAGTTTTACTTAAACATATGCAAATATCAAAAATCACAAATCCTTTGGCTTAGAGCTGTTAGACAATTACAAAAATAAATTTATAGTTCAGATATAAAATAAACTATAAAACGGATGCAATTGAAACCAGTCACACTAGTTAGGAAAAGGAGGAAGGCAGTCTTCCTGAAGCCCCATGGCTCTGCACAGCGTGGGAGGCCCATGTCTCTAATTATTCTGTTCCTTGGAGCCCAGCACTGTCAGAAGATTCATGCCTGGTGGGGTCTGGATCTTCCAACATTTTTCTCTATTTAAACTACTTCAATGCTTCATTAGCAGGGCTTCCCATAAAGTCAGTGGCCTCTATTTAACGTGACTACAGCTGTTATTTATGAAGAATCACTGCTGGCTCTTATTGAGTCTGTGGCTATTAAAATTATGCCAAATGCCAAATCAGCATAATAATAAACATTTTTGATCTGGGAGAAATAAAATCATATGATAGTTCACATTAGGTGATCAACTAAGGACATAGAATCTGTTTATTCAAGAAATGGTTTACATATCATCCAATGCAGATTTTATAATTTTGATTCATTTTAATCAATGTGCATGTATGTATACCTAACACATCAATCATAATATTTACTGCTATCTGTTCAGAAAGCCCCCTACCATATTTTCAAGACTCTACCACATATATCTTAGTCTCCAAAAGCCACTTTAATTTTGCTTATGGATCTCCATCTAAAGAATCATACATCTTTATGTAAATGTCTGGTCTCTGGCCTGTCTTACTATGATTTTGTGATTCATCCTATGCCTGCACACCTCAGGAAGCTGTTACTTTCTATCATTTTCTTCCATTGACTCGTTAATGGACATTCGAATGATGTCTACTATAAGGATTGAGGTAGATTAAACACTTTTTACTTTTGTAATTTTTACATAAGTTTTCAGAAAAAATGAACTATTGTGCTTATGGTCTGTATATAGTTTTCTAAGACATTATCAAGTTACTTTCTAAAATGTCTGTATACCTTTTATGCTTCTACCAGAAGTCCTTGAAAACTCTCATGGTACCGCATGCTGTCAGCATTGATGTTAGTAATTGCACAATTTTAACCTCATGGGTGAGTGTGAAGGGATATCGCAGCATGGTTTGTAAGTGTACTTGCATTTTGACTAACCAATGTTGTCACTTTCTTATGTACTTTTGGCCTTTCATGTCTTATTCAGTGAAGAGTTGGCTCATAGGCATACTTCTGTAAAAGCTGGCTGCTTATCTTCTGTATCAAGTAACTGAACTTCATATATTTTGGATCTAAATCCATAAAATATAATACTTGCCTCCATTTTCACTAGTGTTTGGAAGTTTTAAAAGCTTCAACTTTTATTTTTTATTTCTCTTGAAAAGTAGTGATTTTTATTTAATAAATTCCAGCTTACAAAATAAGTTTTCTTCACTGATACTTTAAAAATATTTTCAAAACTACTTTTGCTAACCACAGGTTTAGGGGCACTCTTTTCACTTTCTGTGTTTTCCTTTGGACGTTTTATAAGTTAGGATTATTTGATTGTTATTTATTTATTTATTTATTTATTTATTTATTTATTTGAATGTCTGGCTCTGTATGTGTAGGTGCCTATAAAGGCTAGAGGATGGTGCTTGGATTTCCTGCAGTTGGAATCACAGAGACTTATGAGCTGCTCAAAGTGGGTTTGGAAACTTCCCTTGAGTCCTTTAAAGAGCATTATGTACCTTAGCCATGGAGCCATCTCTCCAACCCTTAAACTCATCCTTTATATTTAGATCTGCAATCTGTTCTAGTTTTCCTGGGTGTAAGGGAGATACAGGTTTGACTTCTTTCCATATGGACACCTCCACATCTTCCTGTACCTTCCACTGGATGATGTTCTTTTCAGATCTTGTCAATTTTTTTCTATCCTGTTTCTTAATTCCCCATTCTGTTCCATAGGTTTCTCTAATGACAAATATATATTTTATGCTACATAAATGATATCTAAGTTAGTAGTTTTATAAGACCTACAATCAAAAACTGTCAGTCACAATAGCTTTTTAAACATTTCCATTAGTTCTTCTAAATCTTGGAAGGAATGAATTCTGAATTGTGGACTCTTTTTGTCAGTTAAATCTACAAATGCACTGAGGGAGAAATGTCATCTTAAAAATACTGAGTCTAATCCATGAACATAGTATATCAATATCCATGTCATTTTTTTCTGTGATCTTTTAGTGACACATAATTCCTTAAATTAAAAAACTATTTTTAATGATGGACTGTGATCAGTATGCATAAGCTGAATAAAGATATTCTCCCCCTAAAAAATATTGATGCTATCATAGATAATGGCATCTATAGTTTTTATTTCTAAATTCTGTATTGAGAGTCTACATGAATAGAATTTGGCTTTTTATATTTGTCTTTTTTATAATTTTTATATCCTATCCTGTGATATAAGTAATTTATTAGCTATAGTAATAGTTGTTTTGTATTTTCTTTAATACTTTAAGGGTTTCATAAAATTTAAATAAAGATGGTTTTTATTTCTTTTTTATATTTTATATTAATGTAGAATTTCACTTTTTAGGAACCACTAAGTCAATATTGTATAAGAAAATCAAAATCCTTAGAGACTTGCTTCCAGCCATACAGAGAAAGCATTTATCATATTTGTGGGTATCAGTTGTGATTTTTTCTACATGGCTTTGACTCCTGGAGGATAGCCCAGGAGCTATCTTTTGATCCTTGAATGAAAGACATATTAGCTTATTTTTAAAATGCCTTGGCTACCTCAAAGGCTGGAAACTTCTAAACTTTCCCCAAGTAAACACAGGCACAATAGGGGAAGTGGCCAATGTGCATTTACCTGAAATCTCACATGGCTGGTTGGCTTAATCTCCTGCTGCTGCTTCTTCCCTCGGCCACAGTGATTCTCTTCTATTCCTCTCTGTGCCCTCACCTGCACAACACTAAGTGTTCCAACCTGTGCCCAGCCTTTGGCTGTTAGCATCTTTATGGATCAATCAAAAACCAACTGGAGACAAGGAACTTCAGCTACTGGCTGGACATGCAGATTCCTGATTGAATCAAAGCCTTAGAACCAATCTTCAACCCTTCATTGGATTGAAGGAATTATTTTCTCTTGTTGATTTTTAAAATTTATAAACATGTATTGAATTTTGAATTTTATCCAGGGATGACAGTGAGCTCTAAAATTCCTGCTTTTTTCCTGTGATGGTTAGCCAGGCTCAGAGCACACCTGTAAGGAACTGTTCAGACCAAGGATAGCCTTTAAGAATCTCTGTGAAAGATTATAACAAGTTCCCGAAGGGAGGAAGACACAGCCTAAAAGTGAGCAGTACCCTTCCCCAACTTGGGATCCTTTCCTGTGTAAGGGAAGGGCAGGAGCAGAGCTGAGGCATTGCTCTCCGCTCTTGCCTGGGGATGTGAAGTTCTCTCAAGCTCCAGCTGCTGGGACTTCCTTGCTATTATGGACTATTACCTGGTACTGTGAGCTAAATAAACCCTGTCACAGATAGTTTATCACAGAAGCAGGAAAATAAGACACTTATTTTGGAATTTTTCCTTTGGTGATTAACAAAGAATATAACATACTTCACCACACATAATTGCATTACAGATTTGTAAGTACTTTAAACTTGATGGGGTGTAAGTGTTGTTCCTGGGCTTTTCTTCACCCCTTTGCTCCCAAGTAATGCCAGAATGTCTCTATGCCTACTCTAGTCCACTTTAGCTCCGAATAAATGATACAGGGACCTAATAAATTTATTAACAAGCTGTAGGCACTATGCCGGGCGGATACTCAACTAGTTTAACCCTCTATTTCAGATTACCTCCCAGCCACACGGTCCTTTACCTGCAATCTGAGTCTTGCCCTTGCTCTGTTTCATGTGTGTCCTCATGGTGAATCTTCCTGGTCCTTCTCTTCTTCCTGTTTTCTGCCTCTCTCCTTTTGTTTGGGACATCCTGAGTGGAATCTGAAGTCTTTCTTTATTCTCCTCTTCCTTATTATAGGCTGAATTAGTTCTTCATTAACCAATCAGACGTGATGGAAAACAATCTACACATCATTGAAGCAGGTAATGCTTCGATAATCTTGACAATGCCAATTCTAGACTGCAACCAGATCTCTGGGTTCAGCAATCAGCATCTGAATAGATAGTGCACAAAACCATCTCCGAACATGTATAGGAAGACATCATTATGTATTTACACCATTACATTGTGTATTACATTTCATCCATGTTACTGTAACTTTCTATCCTTATATTTAACCAGAAAACTGCTGATAGACATTTTGTTATAATATATAAATAATAAGTAAACATAAATAAATGTATAAAGGAATCACTTTACATTCTGGACTCTTCATTCCAGAGGTCCATATTTAATGGATCCAAAATGTCTTATACTCTTGGAAGGAAAAGGACACAATTTGCTCATTGATATTTAAACATATAAACAATAATGTGGTCACTCAATAGAAGTTCTTACTATTTGATGAGTTATCTTCACTGGATATGAGTGTGAGGTGTGTGTGTGCGTGCGCGCGCGCGTGTGTGTGTGTGTGTGTGTGTGTGTGTGTGTGTGTGTATGCTACATGTACTAGTGCTGCAGGAAGGAAGTCAGAGGATCAGATGGCCTAGAACTGGAGTTAAAGGCATTTGCAAGTGATTGGTTCTGGAAATTGAACTCCTGATGATTTCAACAGCTGAGCTCTGTCTCCAGCCCCTGACCTCCACCCCCATTTCTGTCATCCTCACCTTCAGACTCTGCCAAAAAGTCTTTATTGGGAGCCTGCAAGTTAACTTTTACAAATGCATTTGCAGACTTAAGATGCTACTCTCAGTGCCAGTAACTTTTACAGTGGCTCTTTGTAGTTTGGAAGGATGCATGCAATCTCTGAAAACCTGATTACAATTTCCCCAGTACCATGTGCAGAAGGCCTAGTCTGTTAGGAGGAGAGGAGAATGTTGACAGCTATTTGTTGCTTTGAGCCCATTGCATAGTCTTCTTTACCATTCTTTTGTTGATATTGTTTCTTGGCTCCTGGATGAGCTGCTTTAACCATTTTATGCCAAAGTAGACAGGCGCCATACGACGTAACTGCCACAAAGCTATTGAGGAAACTATAAAATTGACTCTAGCAAGGAAGACTCAGTAGCTATCAGGACTAAGAGTAGGCCATTTCTACAGACTGGAAATAGTCTTCAATTATTTTCTACTAGGAGAAGAATTTTTAACCTATAAGTTTACTGAGGTAATAAAACTACTGCTTGAATGATTTAGAGGTCTGTGTATTGATGTCTGTAGCCTCACAGCTGACAGATGAAGACAGTATTTATATAACAGTATGTTGCTTATACTGAACACATGTCTTTATGAAAGGTGGCCACAAATATTTCTTGGTTCAGCAAAAACCTCCAATGGAAAACAAACCACTCAATTGGTTATGGATGTTAGAGTACCATATGATTGAAATGAAGTCACTATCTCTCTGCCTTTCAATGTTTCTTTTTTATTTTTCTTCACAACTTTAGAACTTTCAGCCATGTGTGGTGGCTTATGTCTTTAATCATAATACTTAGGAGGTAGAGGTAGGTAGTTTACTGACAAAGAATATATGTTGATTTATATATAAATCAATATACACATATATATTGATACATATATATGTATATATACATTGATACATATATATGAATATATAATTTATATATTCACATTGATATATGTAATTAGGACTTTCTTTCTAGCTACAAGTTTGTTTTAGGATCCATTTACTTGCCTTTAGAGTGGCAGTGTGCTGAGTGAAAAGGGGTCATCTTTGAGTGAAAATTTTTTGAGTTTCTGGTACTCCCATAGTTGTCTATGTTATTAAGGGGCCAGTTTGATGTCCTTTGAACCTCAGTTGTTCAATATAATAATCACAAGCTGTTCACAAAATAATCAATCATGTCCATTTCCAAAGGTTGTTGTAATATGAAGTAACACACATATTTTCTCACACATGCAAGACCTACTCATTTAGAGTCATTTCTCTTCTGTGTTCTCTAGAAATCTCTCTAATGTGAAACAATCAACTAATTAACTATTATACTGGGTTCTTCATTCTATGGGTTCATCTCTGTGAAGAGCTGGTGCCTGTCCCAGGAACTGTCCAGGTCTACATTAATCTCTCCTATTGCAAATTTTTCATGATTGCTTCTCTCTTGTGCTGGAATTTTGTAGTCAGTTTTCACCTGACTCATTAGCTTTCAAACTCATTAATTTGAAGTACTCAATAAAATTATATACTCATTAATTTGAAGTACTCAATAAAATTATATATATATATATATACACACACATATATGTGTGTGTGTGTAAGGAATATATATATATATATATATATATATATATATATATATATATCCCTTCCAGTGACTCATTTGATTTGCACTCATCCTGATATAACTATGAAATTTTATACGCACATACCATAGGCCATTTCTAAACTTCAGCTTTGAATTTTATGTATCTTCTTGAGTACATATTTGTTTGAAGTGCTGATATTTTTCCCTATACATTGCAAAGCCCTTGAAACCAGAACCCTTGCCTGATTCATCTTTATTTCTTTCTTAGAACCCAGATCCTCATCTACGTAGAAGGGTTAGTATAAGTGCTTTTTAAAAAAAATCAATTCATTTATCAAAATATAAAGTATTTTCACACATAGTCTGTTAGGATCATTTGTCATTTTGTGTCCCTAAACATCTATCTTTTATTGATAAAGTTGCTTTTCTAGTCTCTAGCTACTTTTAAATAAATTATAGCATACTCAAAGCAACAGTTATTACAAATGCTAATGTTATTTTATTTCTTATATTGAACACTGGCATTCTATGGAAAAAACAGATTAGTAAAAGTATATATATATATATATATATATATATATATATATATATATATGCCTAAAATGGTATGAGCCAGTGTATTAATGATTCCTTTCCTAGTAAATAGAATTTACATAACTTTTGTTAGTTTATTCATGTCTCCTAGTTTTCTGAAATGATTCTCTATTACTCCACCTTAAAAATAAATAACATACCTAAGTGAAACTGAGTGTGGAAACAGTACCACCACAACCATCCACTTGTAAAGGTATCAGGAATTACTGCCACAGGGTTCTTGGGAGCTGTGGGTACTGACCAGCCAAGTGAAAGATTTTCTGAGCTAAACTGAAGCTCTGCAAAGAGGGTTGAGATCCTCAATGGTATGTCAATAAATAAAGCAAAAATGTCTATTGGTACCATATTTAATACTATGAAACTGAGGAAAATTATGACCTTTGAAAATCTTATTGAAGTCTACAGTTCATGAGGTGGTCATGATTTATAATGTAGGATGAAGTTGACATGGGGCATAAAGTAGAGTTATATTTTTTAATAAAAATATCTAGGTAACTACTAAAATGCTAGTTCTCTCAATGGCATTTCTAAGTATTCTCCATCATTTTATTGCCATCTTTTACTGCTCTCTCTAGTATTTTATTCCATGGGGACTCTGCCAAATGGAATGGCCTTTTTGGAGGTCAGGAATCAGAGAGACTTAGGAGTACTTTATTCTTTATGTGGATGTCATTTGTTTAACCATAAGCAATAATTACAAACCTTTCCTAGTATGCTTTCTATTTTTGTGATAAACACCACTAACAGAAGGAACTTGGGTGAAGGATAGGGTTTATTTCATCTTACAAGTTGAGGGAAGCCAAGGTAGGAACTCAAGGCAGGAACTGAAGCAGAGACCATGGAAGAGTGTTTCTTACTGGATTACTTTGTATGGCTTGCACATCCTGCTTTCTTGAACCACTAACGACTACCAATCTAGGGTTGGCACTGCCTACAGTGGACTGTATCCCACCACATCAATCCATAATCAAGAAAATGATAATTTCCACACATGACACAGGTCAATATAATGGAGAAAATTTCTCACCTGTAGTTCCCTCTTTCCAGATGACTGAAGTTTGTGACAAACTGACAGAAACTAACTAGAATAAAGTCACATACAAATCCTGAGCTTTGACACTTTATTCTCAGGACCATCTAGAGTGTTCTGAGAATCTGGTCATTGATTTTCTTAGAAAAGAAGTGATATCCACAAAATTATCTTAATTACTTCAAATATGAATAATGGCATACATTGTGATGTTCTTTAGACATTAAATTTTAAATTAGGAGTTAAATTTGATCCTCCACTCTTGTCTTGTTATGTCTTGCAATAACTCCCAACAGCCTATTGGTGTGCCATATGAAGACAGTAGAAGTATTCTTGAAACATAGATTTCATAGGCATGGAAATTAGTGTGGGAATTGTGATGACCCAGCTTTGCCCAACAGGCTCCTCTGTCATATAGATTCTCATCAAAGAAGTGTGAACCTTGCACCTAGCTTTATGAGCAATAAGCCTCACCCAGAGTTTCCTAACTATTCTTCGTGTATACAATTTTTACCTAGTTATACAATCTTAAAACCATAATCTCTCATCAATCAAAATAATAGCCAGTTGATAGAATAAGCCACAATTTTATAATCTAGGTCTGAGATCTATGGGTCCATGTTCCACCCTGCTGCTGGCACGGCTGATCAGGAGGCAAAGCGTGGGGTATTTGGCTGTGTTTACCCCACTCCACTGGGCTTTAGAGAAGCGCCAAGCACTATTCCAGATTGAGATGTGGGAAGCCAAAGCTGGTATCCTCTGACTCCCAGGCATCTAGTTGCTACTAGAAAACCCACACAGAGAAGTCAGGAATGAAATGTCAGGGTCCACAGGCTGATGACAGTGGCTAGCCTGGGGCTGGAGCTGGGAGCTTAGGCTTACATCACTGGCAAAGGTAGCAGTGGTTGTCTAGAGGTCTTCTATAGGAAATTTAAGTTGTGGCTCTAGACAAAGGTTTTCTCCATGCTGTCCATAGTGGTAGTAGATAAAGGAGACAGTCCTTGCTTCCAAACTGTTTACTGGTTGTTCACCATGAAAAATGGATGTATACCCACTTCTCAGGGTGAACCAGAGACTAAATATTTTTTGTAGGAAGGAA